AAGGGGATAAAAGAGAGGGAAAGGGAGCAAAGAAAGTAAAGAGAAGGGAAATGGGGAGGCAGAGAAGAGGAGAAATGTGGAGAGGCTAAACTGAAAGGAAAAAATGTCTCTAGAAAGCTCAAAGCGATCAGGATTCGTGGTAGAGGTGATATCTTTTATTAGACCGACTAGATTTTTGCCCCCCCCCCCAAATAAAAATAATTGCAAGCTTTTGGGCACAAACACTCTTCATCAGGCATTGGAGAAAAGATTGTAAAAGTTCTCCTGGGTAGAAATGAAACTTCTATGAACTTTCATTTCTACCCAGGAGAACTTTTATAATTTTTTTATCAATGCCTGATGAAGGGTGTTTGTGCCCGAACGCTTGCAATTAAAGAAATTTTTTTGCAAAAATCTAGTTGGTCTAATAAAAGATATCACCTCTACCATGAGTCTTGATTGCTTTTTTCTCTAGACCAATACAGCTACAACCTGGATACCAGAAAGCTCGTAAATTTAGCTCAAAAAATTACCTGTGCCAAAGGACCCGTTGGTCTAGCATGGGTAAGACGCATCAGATTTTAGAGCCAGCCAGCAGCACATGGGGAGGTGATGTGGTTAGCATTGTGTCCAGCTACATTTGGCTCCTCAGCATAAATGAACGTACCCCTTGGTGTCCTGAGGGCAGCCTTCAATATGAATCCAGAGCCAGGCTCACAGTCCTGGTACTGGAGCTGTAGGAAGATGCCTTTACCTCTCTGACACCATATCCTGACCATAGATTTAGTACCTGACAGCTATAAACATTCTATCTTTGATATTTTCAATGAAAAAGGCTTAGCATCACTGACTAAACCTGTGATGGAGGGTTTATGATCTACATTTTTGTGACTTGCATTTTCTTTGTCAGTTTAAATGCAGAATGCTGTCGTTTTCTGTATGCGTGTATGAATAACTTGCCTTTGTATGCCAGCACAAATGCAGTTTCTAGCCATTACCACTTGTCCTTCAGTTAGGAACTTGGGTTTTCTTCTTACCATATTACTTTTTTGTTAAAAGAAAAGAATCCCCTCATCAACATTTCCTCCTAAGCTTTTTTGAATCCATGTCAGTATTGTTTTTGATCAGTTAAGTCCCTCAGGAAAAGATAAGAAAAACTGCATCTTTTCTGTTGTGTATCCTATGACGGCATGACAATAGGCAGAGCTAATCTTCTGGCTTCCCTGAGTTTAGCAGAATCCTTAAGCATGGGGTTCTGCCTGGCAGATGACCATTGCCCCACCTTCACTCTGAGTCATTGGTATTCCCCTGTTCTCTGTGCTTCATCTTGACACCCAGACAGTGCTTTGGCTTCCCTGTCATTCAAACCAACACCTGAATGAATGGTTTTCTGTCTTCATTATGATTAAGTTGTGCTCTTCAGTTCCTTTTTTTATTTTTGTAGGTCGTGCTTTGTAGCAGCACTTTACAGTAAACACCACTAAATAACTTGGCAAAGTCAGCATTGTAAACAGCAGACTCCGGGAAGCAGCTCATTCACCAAGCCCCTCTTTTCATCGGAAAATATGTTAAGCTTTGAAGTAACCACAGGCAGCACTTGGCTCCTAATTTAAAATAACCTGAGGAAATGTAACAGTAACTTAAACAAATGTTAAAAGATCTGTCATGAGGGGTTCATGAGACACTAAAATGGCACAGCTGTGCAAAAGAAATTTCAGTGTGGAGAATGGATTTGTTTGTATCAGCTCCTTCCAGCTCTCAGTAAAGAAGAGTGGTTCTGCTCACTCTTGGGTCTGCAGAGAGCAAGCTAGTTACTTGGTACAGGTTGTTCTGGTCCCAAAAGGGGAACTGTTAAAAGGCATTATCCTTCCCAAATGCCCTCCTCCACCCTTCCCTTGCTCACATAGGCATTATCTGAGCATAAATGGGAAGGGAGGTGACATAAAAATACACGAGACAATTTCCATACTAAGATGTGATGCACACAGCAAAACAGTTTTAAAATTTGTGGGAAACTGTATTACAGCAAAGGAAGAATCATAACCTTTTTCCAAAGCTTGGTGAAATGGTACAGCCACTAACATCAGTCTTAGATTTTCATGCTGTTCTGAGTAACCCATTTCAGAATCCTGTGAGTAGGTAGAAGTTTGACCATCACAAAAGATATAAGTCTGGGGCATAATGTTGCTTACCTCTGCCATCCTTGTTTCAGGTGTCTCCACTAAATTCTCCACATGTTCTCCTGACAATTCTCCACACATTCTGCATCATACAAGTACACATCATGCTGACCTCATCCTAGATATTCCAGAAGTCAGCAGTCATCATTCTGACTGATGAATCTTGTCACCCTCAGGGGTCTCCCATGCCAACACAAAACATTTAGAATGGGAAACCTTATCAAAAACTCAGTCCATACCATCTCCTACAGTGCTCTCTTTAGATCATGAAAACTAAGCATCTCCATGTGGACCTGGGAAACCCCCATGGTGATTTAATACACAGCCTGCTTTCCAATCAATGTCTCAGAATGAAGCTGGAAAACACTGGTGCTAGACTGTCTTAATTATGGTTCTTTTAGCAGGATTAGAAGTATTTACCCTTGTATCCTGGTAAAATAGCAAATGATCAATTATTTTGCCATCCTAAAACGCTCCTCCTGTGATTTCAGCTGAACAGTGTTCCTCTTCCTTATAGGGAAGAACATTTTTGGAAGTGGAGGGATCTTTATGCTACCAACAAAAGCAAAACAAGATCCAGTGACTAGAAGTTGAAGCTGGATAAATTCAGGAGAAAAGATAAGGCACAATTTACAAGTTAAGACAGATATTGGAACCATTTACCTAATGAGTTCTTGGAGTCTCCAGTATTTGAAGCCTTTCTATCAAGATCAGATGCCTAATTCAACTTTAAGATATAGGCTTGATAAAGGAATTAGTGGGTAAAACTCTCTGGCCTTTGTATTACAGGAAGTTAGATTAGATTATAATGGTAATTTCTGGCCTAAAATCTATTCATCCTTCCTAAACTTCTATTTTTAGCTATTTAATAGCTAGATGCTATTAAAACAATCCTATATTCCACTCACAAGGTGTCTACACCCCGTTGATGGGTGAAAGGATTGCAATTGATGGATTTTAAAAACAGAAAACTGCATTTAAAAAACCAAGTCATGCTGAGCAACAAAAATGTACAGAGCTACTACCTTACTTGTAAAACACAAGCACTTAAAACAAAGACATGAACAGTTAAGGACATTATAGTACCCACATAATACATTATTTTTATCAAGCAAAGTTATGTATATTTTATCACAACACAACCTTAACTCTGACACAACATGCATACTTCCTTTCAGAATTGAATGTGGGAATCATAGAAAATTTGGGTTGGAAGGGACCTCAGGAGATCATCTAGGCCAACTCCCTACTCGAAGCAGAACCAGCCCTAACTAGATCATCCCAGCCAAAGTTTTGTCTACCCGGGTCTTAAAAGTCTCCAAGGATGGAGGTTCCACCACCTGTCTGGATAACCTGTTCCAGTGTTTTACTACCCTCCTAGTGAGAAAATTCTTCCTAATATCCAACCTAAACTTCCCTTGAAGCAAATTGAGACCATTGCTCCTTGTTCTATCTGCCACCACTGAGAACAGTCTAGCTCCATCCTCTTTCAAACCCTGCTCCAAGTAGTTGAAGGCTGCTATTAAATCCCCTCTCACTCTCCTCTTCTCTAGAATAAATAAGCCCAGTTCCTTCAGCCCCTCCTCATAAGTCACATCCCCCAGCCCTCTCACCATTTTTGTTGCCCTCCACTGGACTCTCCAATTTGTCCACATCCTTTCTGTAGTGGACTCATGTAAAAACTATAATAGCACATGTAGCAACAGTGCAGGCCTCAATTTTACCCTAACTGTATGTGTGAACTGGAGGACTCATCACCTAAGGTGAAAGAGTTATTTCTGTGCTGGTTCACCTCTCTGTATTTTTGAGTGCCAGCTAGTTCCAAACGCGGTCTTGATTTATTAACAGCTAGCAGGAGTTTGACTAAACCACCACCTTATTTCACCCAGGTCATCATCGGATTATAGCTTTTAGTCACTACCAACTTTTATGGCATTTGAATGTACAACCTAGAGATAAAAGGCTATCTTTTGTACTGATGTCCCAGCCCAACATTACTCTGCAGTCGTTCCTTGAAATGTCCCATGCTCCAGCATACTTGTAGTTATTTCTTTGGAAGGGGTTTTCAGCTGTTACCTCACTGCATGAATTATTTGGTATTGGAAAAAGGGATTCTTCCTTTGAAGCAAACAGGGTGAACAAAACATTTTGGGCACAGTGAACTAAACAGTGCTGTTAGCACAGTTTTTTTGACCCAAATGAGCAGGGATTATTTTCCAAAAACAATGCCAAACCATGCTATAGACTAGCCTTACAGTGATATCTGTGCTGGCCAACAGATATCACTGTTTGGCCAGCACAGCTCTCAAAAATGTGCTTGCACTTGTCAGAGAAACCATATTAGCATCTGCAAGGTTTAAACAAGGTGGGTTGTTAGTGCTGTTTGGGCAGAGCCTTACATGAAAAGCCATTTATTCTGCTATTACTATTCATTATTCCCTCTAGTCTACCCTGGGTGTTTGAGCTGGGATCTGTGTAATCCCATATAACCCAGCCTCTCCTTGTGCCAAAACCTTTAGCAAAGTCATAATTTTCATTTTGCAACATCACAGTCTGTTGCTATGGGAATGATTGTAATATCACAGATTCAGCATTATAGTTTTACTGTAGAAGCAGGTAGGAAAAGGCAATTCAGAACAGAAAGAGTGCCCTTGTTCAAACGCAAGGTCCTTCAATAATTATCCAGAGAAGTTACACAATACAACTGAAGTGACAGAAGGCTAGATTCG